AAACTAGATACCCTAATAATGATTATGGCCAAGTATGGTTAAATTTGTCTCAGTAGTTTCAGAGAAGAAGATTTTTGTAAAAGATTACAAAAATTTACGAAAAATTGTTAAAAATTGACTATTAAGGGCAATAACTCCTATAGGGGTCAACTGACAATTTTGGTCATCAGAACTTATTTGTAGATCTTACTTTGCTGAACGTCAATAATGAGGCTAATTATGGCATGCACATTCTCATTTTTCTTCTCCATTTTTGTTTAGGTTTTTTTTAATCAGTCTTATTGACCATTTCAACTTATAAAATTTTAGGAACTGCCAATTCAAAGCAGACAATACATTTAGTAAAAGGAGCATGGATAAAAAGCAATATACAAAATGTAATAAAATAATTTTTGACTTTTGATATAAGTTGATACAGTGATCTATCAACCCCTTAGATAAGACATTAACCTCGGCCATTGGCCTCGGTGAATATCATATCTCTGGGGATGATAAACCATTGTATCAACCTGATCTAAAGTCCATAATTGCATAATATTGGCCTATAGTATCTTACTTCTAAGTCATTTGGTCTCTGGTGGAGAGTTGCCTCATGAGCAATCAGATCACATCTTCTTATTTTTACATTATGCATACATGTATAAAATCCCAATTTTAAAGCGGAATGACATGTGATGCAACTTTTGATTGGATGGCATATGCAGTTTCATGGGTGAACATTTTTCAATATTGTAATACATGTATCAAAGAGTTTTCACAGTCAATATTGGATTTGTTTGTGGCAATTACCAGTATTCACCGACCCCAGACTGCATAGTGCATTTTCAACTGTCAAATCCAAAGTTGACTCACAGGCACACTTGTACGAAATATCATGATTTTTCAAAAAAATCCCCCCCATTGACAGAAACAAGTGCTTGTGGAATAGACATTATATTTGAAAATAGTTTTAAAATTTTAAAAATTGTAATACCTTAATGTTTAGAGCCAAAGAAAGACCTGTGTTACAAATTCAAATGTTTTATTGATTTATAATCAATGCAAGACACTTTTTATCAACAATAACACAAAATAAACAATTTAAATAAAATAAACAATGATCAACAATGCAAATAATTATAAAATGGATAACACTGAATCTGACAAAATATGATAAAATAAACCTATAATGCAATGACTTATCATAAACTCTAATATCAGTTTTACCCTTGTCAGATTTACTCTAAATGCTTTGGTTTCAGAGATATAAGCCAAAATCTACATTTTACCCCTATGTTCTATTTTTATCCATTGCGGCCATCTTGGTTGGTTGGCAGGGTCATCAGACACATTTTTTAAACTAGATACCCTAATGATGATTGTGGCCAAGTTTGGTGAAATTTGGCCCAGTGGTTTCAGAGGAGAAGATTTTTGTAAAAAGCTAATGACGACAACCGACGACGGATGCCAAGTGATGAGAAAAGCTCACATGGCCCATTGGGCCAGGTGAGCTAAAAAATGCATATCACGTTTCAAAAATAATTTAGAAATAAATAAAAGAATAAGTTATATGCCCATATCTTGGATTAAAAACAAAATTTAAGTACTTGCAAAGCGTTTAGTGTACATAATGGCAAACAAAGCAGCCAACAATGTGGTGGTGATATGACGTAAATACTACACAGAAGTTTATGACAAAAAGGATGATTTTCCTGACCCTATTGTTAATTTTCCCTTTTGGACGGTGATGTTCCTTTGGCACCTTCTAACGGTGTTTATATATCCCAACTTTTTCGCTATGCCTGTGTCTGTAGTGACATTTTGGAGTTCAATGAGCGTAATCTATGTATTACTGGTAAATTATTAAGTCATGGATTTCGTTACCACAAATTACTTAAAACATTTACTAAATTCTTCCATAGATACAAAGATTTGGTTTGCAAGTATGTCTGTACCTGTAAAAAACTTATTTCCGACGGAATAGCACACCCTAAATTTCACGGTGATGTTGTTTATTGAGCCCAGAAATTTATATACGATCTGGGTAAACTTGTCAATCCTTTAAATAAACTTATTCTAAAAGGTTACCAATTCAACACTGTAATTAGATCTTGGAATATTGTTTTTATTGGTACATGTATAAATATTGATTTTGTTCAGTAAATTAAAACCATACTAAATAGTATTGTTATACACATATGCACTTTCATGGTACTACAATCTGTCGATACCTATATTTTGGCATCGCATAAGGTCATTTTTTTCTCTGTTTATGACGTCTTTAAACTAAATCCATTGGATATTGGATGTGTACCGATTGATATTATAGTCTTAAATACATGATTTCTTTTATAAGTTGTTATTGGCTTTGAACTATCTGTCAGTAACTGTGAGTACTCTCTTTTTTTGTGTCTTTTTTGTTGTTAGGGATGTATAAATACCCTGCCATGTGCGTTTTTGTTAGATATTTCGGCCAAAATCAGCAGAACAGAACCAAACATAAAATTGATCTGCAACTCATCATTAAGTAAACTCACATACTAAAAATCACCCCAATATGTGAAGGAGTCTAGAAAAAAGTCAGGATAACTGTTGGTTACAGAAAGACAGAATGACGGATAAGGGTAATTCATCATGATCACTGTCTTAAGAGATTTGATATACAAAATTTTGCATTCTATATATGCATTACAGGATTGTACTACTAGTTCCTACAAAAGTTGTCTCCCTTTAGCACTGAAAATTATAGTACAAACTAGTTTCAATTACCCCTTCAGATAGGAAGCATTATGACTTAAAGAAAGTTACATTGATAATTTTTAAATTTATAAATATGATTTATAGAATTTTTTGTTATGGTCGAAAATAATGTAATATTGCATTAGTTAAACAGATGCAATATAAACTATAATATTTATTCTATTTATTATATGACTATAATAAACTGCTTCACCGAGCACAGCTGGATACGACCCCAGAAGTCAAACCCTGAACAGTTGGGGCAAAAATGGACACAATATTTGCGCTTGATACAGGTCTGAATTTGAATTGTAATTAAATATTTGACACATAATAGGTTTCTGACAGAGAATAACTGTAGTCAAAGAACTTAGAATTGGTTATATGATTTGAATTTATATTCAATTTTTTGCTTTTGTGCAATACACTATACTGTTGCAAATTGACACCCCCCCCCCCCCCAAAAAAAAAAAAAAAATACCCCCTCCCCCCTTTTTTTGGTCTTTTGTGCAATACACTATGCTGTTGTGAATTGACCTCCCCCCCCCAAAAAAAAAAAATTCTTTTAACGAAATCTGAAATGAGAAAAAAAATTTTTTACCCCCCCCCCCCCCCCCCCCCCCCTTTTTCCCCCAAAAAAATTCTTTCCCTCAAGATATGGTCATAATCTCAATTCAAATTTCCAATGGAGTTTGCAACCATAATTACCCATTTAAATACATCATAAAAGTTTTAAAATAGAAAATGACATACATAATCATGGCTAAAATTAATATTCCTTAATTAGCATTTTTAAATAGTAACTTCTAAAAATAAATTGACAGCTAATCACCTCAAGACCATACAACATTTCTTTATACATAATTTAAAAGCAGTGTAAGGGAGGTAATCCAAACATAACATTGTACTTTTTTAATTGTCCATTAACCAGGAAACCCTTGCCTTTCCCCCTTTTTTGCCCCTAATTCCTAAACGGTTTGAGACATAACCCCCTAAAGCCAATCCTAACCATCCCTTTGTGGTATGGAAACTTGTGGTATAATTTCATAGAGATCCATACACCGTTCCACAAGTTATTGTCTGGAAACTAGAAAAATGCTTATTTGGGCCCCTTTTTGCCCCTTATTCCTAAACTGGAAAGACTATAACCCCCAAAATTAATCCAAACCTTCCTTTTGTTGTTATAAACCTTGTGTTTAAATTTCATGGATTTCTATTTACATTTACTAAAGTTATTGTCCCGAAACCAAATGTCTTTGGACAACGCTGAAGATGACGACAACGTGATACCAATATACCACCGCAAAATTTTTTGCGGTCGTATAAAAATTCTCTTTTTCTCATTGGCTAAAAATGTAGGGATTCTTCCTTGATAAAACATTACCGGTATATTCACCGTGGGAAAATCACGAGAGGTTAATATAAGATATATATGGTACAGCTAACGTGTACTTATAAATAGTTTTTTCCTAGGCAACGTCAATAATGAGGCTAATTATGGCATGCACATTCTCATTTTTCTTCTCCATTTTTGTTTAGGTTTTTTTTAATCAGTCTTATTGACCATTTCAACTTATAAAATTTTAGGAACTGCCAATTCAAAGCAGACAATACATTTAGTAAAAGGAGCATGGATAAAAAGCAATATACAAAATGTAATAAAATAATTTTTGACTTTTGATATAAGTTGATACAGTGATCTATCAACCCCTTAGATAAGACATTAACCTCGGCCATTGGCCTCGGTGAATATCATATCTCTGGGGATGATAAACCATTGTATCAACCTGATCTAAAGTCCATAATTGCATAATATTGGCCTATAGTATCTTACTTCTAAGTCATTTGGTCTCTGGTGGAGAGTTGCCTCATGAGCAATCAGATCACATCTTCTTATTTTTACATTATGCATACATGTATAAAATCCCAATTTTAAAGCGGAATGACATGTGATGCAACTTTTGATTGGATGGCATATGCAGTTTCATGGGTGAACATTTTTCAATATTGTAATACATGTATCAAAGAGTTTTCACAGTCAATATTGGATTTGTTTGTGGCAATTACCAGTATTCACCGACCCCAGACTGCATAGTGCATTTTCAACTGTCAAATCCGAAGTTGACTCACAGGCACACTTGTACGAAATATCATGATTTTTCAAAAAAATCCCCCCCATTGACAGAAACAAGTGCTTGTGGAATAGACATTATATTTGAAAATAGTTTTAAAATTTTAAAAATTGTAATACCTTAATGTTTAGAGCCAAAGAAAGACCTGTGTTACAAATTCAAATGTTTTATTGATTTATAATCAATGCAAGACACTTTTTATCAACAATAACACAAAATAAACAATTTAAATAAAATAAACAATGATCAACAATGCAAATAATTATAAAATGGATAACACTGAATCTGACAAAATATGATAAAATAAACCTATAATGCAATGACTTATCATAAACTCTAATATCATTAAAATTCGTTTTCTTTTTTAATACATGTACAATGTAATATATATTTTATATACTTTTACCATTTTGATTCGTTCAGAAAGAGTCACAAGTTCAATTGTGTTTGGGAAGAAAGACTGAAAACGGCAGATAGAAAAGTGATATTGCAGTTATCTTTGAAATGCATGTATCTAAAAATAAAAATCTGAAACCCTCAATACTTTGTGACGTAATTGTAACAACCAATCAAATGAATTTCAGCTCTATTTCCAGTAAATTGACAATAATAATATAACTATTGTAGCTTTTGTATGAGGTCGATACAATGATATATAAAAAGTATATAGACCCATGACTTCGTCCTCAGTCGATATCTTTCTTGCTTTCAGGTTGAGGTATCATATATCAACTTCACACAAAGGTAATAAGTGTATAATATATTCCCTTGATACATAACTTCATAATGTCATATAAACCATTGCTTTAAGTCAGTAACTGGAAGTTTTCACAATCTGACATAATTTGAAAACATAGCATAATTAATACAATGACTTTTATGCCCCACGATAAAATGTTGAGGGGCATATTAATTTAATTCACCCCTGTCCATCCATCCATTGTCCGACTGGATATAGACACATGGTTTGTCTGGCTATCTCCTCTTACAGTTTTTGAACTACAGCTTTAATATTTTGTAGGATTTTTCTACACATACTAGAGGTGTGCATGTCCACAGGATTTTGATTTTTTTCAAATATTCACAAAATGCCAGTTATTTGAACATTTTTTGTACTAAAAGTCAGAAAGGGGGGATGCTAGATATTCAGAAAACTTTACTGTATAAAATCTGACAAAGATTATCTATGCCTGGGGTAGAAAACCTTAGAGTTTAAAATCTGACAAAGATTATCTATGCCTGGGGTAGAAAACCTTAGAGTATAAAATCTGGCAAAGATTATCTATGCCTGGGGTAGAAAACCTTAATGTATAAAATCTAGCAAAGATTATCTATGCCAGGGTAGAAACCCTTAGTGTATAAAATCAGGCAAGGATTATCTATGCCTGGGGTAGAAAACCTTAGTGTAGAAAATCTGGCAAATATTATCTATGCCTGGGGTAGAAAACCTTAGTGTATAAAATCTGGCAAAGACTATCAATGTCTGGGGTAGAAAACCTTAGTGTATAAAATCTGGCAAAGATTATCTATGCCTGGGGTAGAAAACCTTAGTGTAGAAAATAATTTGAATACTTTATGAACAGTTAATTTACAGAAAATGATCAAATCAACTATATTTCATGTTAGTACAAAAGCCCAACAGGGTACACTAGATACATGTTTGAACACAAATTAACTCCATTACAACAAATTTCCACACTAAAACTTCATTACCACAAGGTTTTCACACTAGCACTTCATTACCACAATTTTTTCACACCAGCACATCATTACACAAGGTTTTCACACTAGCACTTCATATCAACAATGTTTTTACACTAGCGATTCATTACCACAGCTGCAGGGTTTTCACACTGAAATTCATTACCACAAGGTTTCACTCTAGCACTTCATTAAGTTAAAATTAATACAGGTTTTTCACACTAGCACTTCATATCAACAATATTTTTACACTTGCAATTCATTACAAAAAGGTTTTCACACTAGAACCTCATTATGTTTTAGCTTAACATTAGATATGAATAACATCAAGGTTATAAATATAAAAATAAGGAGATGAGGTATGATTGCTAATGAGACAACTATCCACCAAAGTTCAAATAAAGTGGATGTAAGCAATTATAGGCAACCATACAGCCTTTAACAATGAGAAAAACCCATAACGTATAGTCAGCTATAAAAGGCCCCAACATGAAAAATATGAAACAATTCAATTTAGAAAACTAACAGCCTAATTTATAACAAAACAATTAAGGAAAAAAACAAATATGACAGACATGAACCAACAAAAACTACAGGCTCCTGACTTGGGACAGGCACATAAAGAATGTAGCAGGGTTAAACATGTTTATAAGACTAGAGACTAGTTCATGCATCAATATTTTAAATCAGATTTATTAATTGATTGGCGTTTAATGCCAATTTAAGCACTATTGTGCTATTTCGTGGCGGTCAGTTTTTATTAGTGGAGGAATTCAGAGTGCAGAGATAGATCCACCAACTTTCGGTAGGAAAACTGACAATCCTAGTCAATTAAGATTGGAGTCAAACAAACCTGCTATGTGAGGGATTTGAACATACAGCCTCATATATATATATATGCATTGTTGACAGTAGTTGGACTACTTAGACCACTCTACCACTGAAGCCCTTTTTTTAAATAAGATTTGTATAAATTTAAAATGTAAACTTTCAACAATGTTGTCTTCATTCTTGATATATGATTATATTGATGTGTGTAGTTGCTCTTAAGGGTCAGACCACCATGACCACAGCATTATGGATAAGGGTCTGAATGTGGTTTACAGGATAGAGAATGATCTCCCCCACCCCACCAAAAAAAATATACAGAATTAATTTCTCCTTGGCCCTTGTTCCTATTCTTTAAGCTGGAAACTATCAAATACAAAGTTTTAAAGTTTTCTCCACATTTGTCATGTTTGAACAAAGACCCTTAAATGAATCAAATATTTTACTTTTGTCAGTCACATTAATATTATGTATCTAAAAATAAAAAATACAATACAGAATAATGGAGTGAAAAAAATTATCTACAAAATTTGTTACAAAGTAAACTTAATCTCTTCTTTGTTACAAATAAAGAAAAGTTGAAAATTTGATTTTATGTATATACAATGATATATGTGACTGGGAAATATTTTAAAATAAACATTTAACAAGACCCCATTCAATGTAAAAATATGTCCCTCATTTATATATTTGTTATGATTTTTTATTGCACAATAAATATTAAAACATTTTTGAACAGCTCTTTTAAAGATTAGTGCTGCTACAGCCTTCTTCATATGAATCAAGTCCATTATCATGTAAATGAGTATGTACAAAATCAAGAAAATATTTTAATTTGCAGAATCCTTTTAAAGTCTTTTTTTTACAAAATGATGCTTTGGAAGTAACATCCACTCCATTAAAAAATATTTTGATAAAATAATGCATTTTATTTTCAGTCCTTTTATATAACTCTATGACTATCCTTGAGGCAAACGGTGGCCATTTTCCATTATGAATTCCTAAAACAGTTGCAAGTGGTGTTATTGTTATATCATGACCAGAGTATAAAACAAAAGATTCCACTGGTTTACGTCTCGCTACCTTTTTCATTCTATCTGCCATTTCTTCTAATAATGGATGTAAATATAAATGAGCATATTTTATATAGTTTCTATTTCCTGATACCATTTGTTTACCTACACGATCTTGTATCTTGAAAATCAAATCTAGATGTGACTGATTTACACACTTGCGTTGATTCTGTGAACAAGGCAATGGTATGGCGTGGCAAGCAAATGTCATTAAAACATCAATTAGAGAAAATACTGAAACGCCAACAGATATTTCAGTTTCTAACACTCCCCTTAATCTATTCATCAGCATATGTTTATCAATATCCTCCCTTTCCACTTGGTCGGCTTCTTTCTTAGCTTTTGTTAGTAATTTATCTGCCCCTGGACAGTGGCAGGACCCTGAAAACAAACTGGGACTACAAAATGATGCGTCTCCAGATCTGTTTATTCTGACTAGAGGCAGATATGTGTGGTTTAAAAACCCAAGCAGAACAGCCACTGCACTCTGGTATGTTCTAGTATACCCTGTACTGCGAATATGTAACTGAGTAATATTAAGAAGACTTCCATATTTCCGTTGAAGGTAGCGACCAGTCATTATGTGTTGTTTCATTCCAAATGGGGTCAAATCCGATCCTTGGCATTTGTTCTTATTTGGATAAAGTAGACTGTCAAATCCAAATTTTTTTTGATTTATCCATTTTTGTCTTGTTCTATCTAGAAAACGAGAGATATTTTCAAACTTTGATTCAACTTTACAACTTAAAGTTGGAAGTTCTATTCCAGGTAAACTATGCATAGAATTTCGAGCACCGTGACGCATAACCATGTGAACTAGTTCTAAGGAGTAACCAGATATGCTACTATCACCTGAAGTAAAAAAAAAAAAAAAAAAAAATGATTTGAATCAAAGATAACAATATGAATCAAAATAGACTGTTTTTGTCAGATATATTAATCTAAGTATAAAAATAATGAGACATGTAGGATTGCCAATAAGAAAACTATTGATATACCAAAGGACAAAAATATACCGGTAAACAATTACAAGTCACTGTAAGGTATTCTTGTCATCAATTTCCAACATAAATGTGACCACACCCCAATTTCACAATCAATATAACTTGTTTGTTTCCTTCAATATGTGCTTCATCACAAACAAATGATTGACATACTTTGATATTAAGTGAAAATACCTAAGTAAAATTCTCATAACTTTGTTGTTTAACACTGAAATTGCATATCAAAGATTGAAAATCCATCACTATACATTGTATATACAACTTTTGTATTAATACCTATCAGTTCCTTTGGCAATGTCAGGATATTGTCCAACATGAAAAATAGAGAAGACATCCAAAACAAGTGAAACTCCGAGCTTCTGCTCACTGATGATACCCCCGCCCAATTATTTCGGTAAACAGGAAGTTGTTGAGGGATGAATCTGAAAACGCATCACACGGTATAGCTGACTAATATAAACCCTGAAACCAAATTTCAGAAATCCTTGTATTGTAGTTCCTGAGGAAAATGTGACGAAAATTTTCAATTTGGCTATCCTGTGTAAAATGATGAAAGTGTTCGGTAAACAGGAAGTTGTTGAGTGATGAATCTGAAAACACATCACACGGTATAGCTGCATGACTTATATAAACCCTGAAACCAAATTTCAGAAATCTTTGTAATGTTCTTCCTGAGAAAGATGCGACAAAAATATTCATGGGACGGACAGACGGACTGACAGATGGACTGACGGATTGATGGACGAACAGACAGAGGTAAAAGAGTATACCCCCACTTTTTTTAAAGCAGGGGTTTTAAAGCTGGGGTATAATTATTAAAATAGTACAGGTTCAGCAACAAATTTCTTGCAGTTTTATATTTGGTTGCTCTGGATATTTTTCTGATCATAGTCACTACTGGGTAATTATATAGTGTTCATTGAATTTGATGGTCACAAATTGTTACATTATAGGATTTCACATTTTTCTGTTTTATTTAGTGCTTTAATTTTTTCTTTTTTTTTATACTTATTATATAATAAGTCTTTATTTATTTAATATACCTGTATTTCATATCTTGCTTTTTTTTTTCTTTTTTTTTTGTCATGTAAAGATTTTTTTAAGAGTCTCCATTTCTAAAAATTGTGAGGTTTCATCTTTCATCATGTTCTAAAAACATTCAATTCCATGTCGGTTTTCAAGGAAACATCTTGCTGGAATACTATGAGCTGCATAACAAAATGGGGTAAAATTTAGTCAGAAACATATTAATACGCTAAGGATGTAAAATAGATTTAAAATATTGGATTAATAAACGATTTACCAATAATGAATTTTAGCTGAGTTTCATTGCATAAAAATGATTTTTTAATGTGACTGGCATATATCGGAAAACCTGAATCAGTTAAACAAAACCACTGCTATAAGCATGACTAGGTATATTAACATATTTTGGAAAAAAAACAATAAAAGACAACAAACCTTCTTCACCACTGTTGATATGATGGAAAGAATTACAATATTCCATTGGACGAAGAAATGTTTTCATTAAATTATGATGTGGCAATTCATTCGTTAAATCTTTTACTATCTCCATTTGGACCCAGTTGTCTGAAATATATATTTCAATAAACAAGTTAAGTCGAAGATACAGTAAATGGCCTAATTTGTCACATATTTAGGTAACATTTTGCATTCAACTTTAGCTTGTTGAACTATAACTGAAAATCAGAAAAATACATTGTAATGCATCTCTTTTATTTTCTGAAATATTACTAAATAAATTCTTTCAAAATAGGTCAACATTTGTATAGAAAGCAAATACAATTGGTGAAAAACATTCATTAATTTGTCTTAAATTCATCAAATCTCCAATTACAAATGAACATGATGTTCAGTGATGTTCAGTAAACCTGATGTTCAGTGATGTTCAGTTGTTGTCTTTTGTTGATGTGGTTCATAAGTGTTTTTTGTTTCTCGTTTTTTACATAGAATAGCCTGTTTGTTTTCCTGTTTGAATGGTTTTACACTAGTCATTTTTGGGGCCCTTTATAGCTTGCTGGTGGGTGTGAGACAAGGCTCTGTGTTGAAGGCCGTACTTTGACCTATAATGGTTTACTTTTACAAATTGTGACTTGGATGGAGAGTTGTCTCATTGGCACTCATACCACATCTTCTTATATCTATATGATGAATAGATTCTTAAAAATTAATATCTTGTCAATACATAAATTTCCATTTGCTTGATATAAAATAATCAATCTGTTACCTAGTTGCTAGTGAAAAACATTTAAATTTACATTTTAGGGAGCTACCATTTGATTTTTATGGGGGGGCTAGGATGAAAAACTTTGTCCTGCATTTTTTTTTTTTAGTTCTAATCTGTCGACCCTGCCTTTTTATTTTTCACTCTGTTAGGTCCTGACATTTTTTTTATTAGTTTATCCTGACTTTTTTTACATAAATTGTAATCCTGCCTTTTTTTATTTTGCCAAGTTATCCTGCCTTTTTTTTTTACTCAAAACTCCTGTCCTGCCTTTTTTTTCAAATTTCATCCTAGCCCCCCCCCCCCCCCCCCCCCCCCCCCCCCCTTTCCCCCCCCGATAAAAATCAAATGGTAGCTCCCTTACAGCTTACTGTGATCCTATGTCGTTACATTTATTTTAACGTTTAATTTTTTTTTCTCTAGAATACCAGTTTGTATGATGTGTACCGTAAAAACAAAGTTGGTAATCCTATTTTTATTTTTCATCAATTTAGAATGGAAATATATAAAAATATCAGATCACTATCAATCAAGTATATTTCAGGTTTTAAAAGATTTAAGAAATTTGTCAAAACTGGCAAAGGGCTACAGATCAATATTTTGTAGGGACTCCAAAACAGTATAGTTCATTTTATGAACCTAAAAACAATTCAGGAGTTGCTTAAAAGCCAAATATTATCTACTTCATTTAAGAATTAATATATCCAGAATATTTTTTTATGTATCATCTAATGATTTGGTTCCAATAGGACAAAAAGGTTATACACGTAAAGGGAGCATAAATAGTAGAAGGGTTGTTTGGGTCTATATACTATATATGGTTCTGAAAAACCTCCAAGAACATGGCATTAAAGGCAGTCTTTTGGATTCTCTGTTTTTTAAGGTTTGTCGTCATCTTAATATAGAAACATATGATTTCCAGTAAATTTGTATCTTATTACACCAATAAGAAGCAAATGGTTTCCTGGAAATTTATAAATCCAACTGACCTTAATTATTGAATTAAATCAAACATGCCAAATCTACTTGTTAAAAACCAATAACCTTTGGGAGCTCATCAGTTCAATGTAGCACCTACCTCATATCAATTTAGATTTTAAATACTTATGTGGTGACCCTAAGCATTGACCATGTTGACTGGGTTATAGAAATACAGTCATCCCTGGACTTCTGCCCTTCCAGCAGTTAATCAACGCTGGGCATCTGTTCAGCAGAGCAGGATTTACAAATTTGCAGACACATCAGGTTAGAATACTCAATAGGGACCATAAATTTGATGTCTCTTATAAAGTGAAGGCCACAATGAGGCAAAATGAGGGGTCTGTAGTTGGCATGATGCAAGGCTAAATTTCTGCCCCTACCATGCCTACCAAGCATATCCTTCTTTTCCATCCTTCATCCAGTACAAGACATTTCAGAACCAAGACATTTGGGCATCCTGTTCAAAAGTAATTCCGTACTGTTTCAGACATTTCTGTATCAGGACATTTTGGGACCAATACAATTTGGTACCTCATTTTTTCTTTACAGTTGCTAATAATTTATATTCATTATGATAATAAGGGAAAAAAATATTTACAATAAAACAACCTTTACCAAACTTGATTATTTTTGAAGATATACATATGTTATCAAACATGATCAATTGTAAATTTATGCATTAATCAATATTCTTAAGTAGCTATAATAAGTTTTTCGCAATGCAGATCAAAAGTGAATACAAATGTACATGTAGCTTGTCTCTTAGTTGCATAGTTGTGTTTGTAGATGGTGGTCCTTTGATCTCTTAAATTCTAAAGAAAACATTTAAATATCAGTAAAAAGATTTTATTGTTATTGACATTCCCATAGTTGAGACATACAATATAACTTGCAAGCCATATTGAGTAAAATCCCTAAAACGGGTTATCATGGTCATAGTACACGTACTATGTCAAACTCTAAATCTCCCTAGTAAATAAAAAGTAAAAATAACAAAAATAACCGAACTCCAAGGTAAATTTAAAATGGCAAGTCCCTTATCAAATGGCAAAATTTAAAGCTCAAACACATCAAACGAATGGAAAACAACTGTCATATTCCTGACTTGGTACAGGCATTTCCTTATACATGTAGAAAAGTGGATTAAACCTGGTTTAATCAAAGTTATGAATGTATAATATGTAGAGACAACAACATCTGGGTTACCGCAAGGTGATAGTTTTATTGAGTCTACATGTTTCGCCACTTACGGTGGCGTCTTCAGGACAATTTAAACATAGAAAACAAATACTGAAGTACATAAAATGCGGTGCATATGGGGTTACAAAGGTTAACAAGACGTAACGTCACAATAATTGATTTGACAACTTTAAAATGAAAGTGAAAGTAAAAGTTAATAATGCATTGTCAGTGTCTTTTCCAAAATGGACAACACCTCACAGGACATTCCGTACCATTCCAAAAGGCTTCACTCGGAAAGAGGTACTACTTCCAATTGCGTCGGGAATGTTGTAAGATGTATGGTAGTCGCACATGTAGGGCATGGTGGAAGTTGTGGTGAATTGGTTACATTTTGCGGTTGTGGTACACTATCCATGTTGCAAGTTTATTTCAACAATAATCGTGCGGTTCTGCGGTTCAGTACGTTTTGCGGTGGTCTTCTTATTCGCGGGTTTTCCTTTTCTTCGAGGTATAGGCGGTTTCTTCAGTGAGGTTGGTGGTAGAATGGAACTGGTCGGTAGACATGAGGCTAACGGTTGTAACTACAACGCAGGACGGCTAAGGTGGATCGTGTGCGGATGCAGGGGTTCACAGAAAAATAAATAATTTGTGACGAGTGAACCAACACCTTCTAACGGAAAAGCTGGTAGAGTAACCAAGATGGATACCGAAGTATGCTGCGGTTGTCTTAAAACCTCATGGAAATATAATATGTAGAGACAACAACATCTGGGTTACCGCAAGGTGATAGTTTTATTGAGTCTACATGTTTCGCCACTTACGGTGGCGTCTTCAGGACAATTTAAACATAGAAAACAAATACTGAAGTACATAAAATGCGGTGCATATGGGGTTACAAAGGTTAACAAGACGTAACGTCACAATAATTGATTTGACAACTTTAAAATGAAAGTGAAAGTAAAAGTTAATAATGCATTGTCAGTGTCTTTTCCAAAATGGACAACACCTCACAGGACATTCCGTACCATTCCAAAAGGCTTCACTCGGAAAGAGGTACTACTTCCAATTGCGTCGGGAATGTTGTAAGATGTATGGTAGTCGCACATGTAGGGCATGGTGGAAGTTGTGGTGAATTGGTTACATTTTGCGGTTGTGGTACACTATCCATGTTGCAAGTTTATTTCAACAATAATCGTGCGGTTCTGCGGTTCAGTACGTTTTGCGGTGGTCTTCTTATTCGCGGGTTTTCCTTTTCTTCGAGGTATAGGCGGTTTCTTCAGTGAGGTTGGTGGTAGAATGGAACTGGTCGGTAGACATGAGGCTAACGGTTGTAACTACAACGCAGGACGGCTAAGGTGGATCGTGTGCGGATGCAGGGGTTCACAGAAAAATAAATAATTTGTGACGAGTGAACCAACACCTTCTAACGGAAAAGCTGGTAGAGTAACCAAGATGGATACCGAAGTATGCTGCGGTTGTCTTAAAACCTCATGGAAATATAATATGTAGAGACAACAACATCTGGGTTACCGCAAGGTGATAGTTTTATTGAGTCTACATGTTTCGCCACTTACGGTGGCGTCTTCAGGACAATTTAAACATAGAAAACAAATACTGAAGTACATAAAATGCGGTGCATATGGGGTTACAAAGGTTAACAAGACGTAACGTCACAATAATTGATTTGACAACTTTAAAATGAAAGTGAAAGTAAAAGTTAATAATGCATTGTCAGTGTCTTTTCCAAAATGGACAACACCTCACAGGACATTCCGTACCATTCCAAAAGGCTTCACTCGGAAAGAGGTACTACTTCCAATTGCGTCGGGAATGTTGTAAGATGTATGGTAGTCGCACATGTAGGGCATGGTGGAAGTTGTGGTGAATTGGTTACATTTTGCGGTTGTGGTACACTATCCATGTTGCAAGTTTATTTCAACAATAATCGTGCGGTTCTGCGGTTCAGTACGTTTTGCGGTGGTCTTCTTATTCGCGGGTTTTCCTTTTCTTCGAGGTATAGGCGGTTTCTTCAGTGAGGTTGGTGGTAGAATGGAACTGGTCGGTAGACATGAGGCTAACGGTTGTAACTACAACGCAGGACGGCTAAGGTGGATCGTGTGCGGATGCAGGGGTTCACAGAAAAATAAATAATTTGTGACGAGTGAACCAACACCTTCTAACG